CACTACCGAAGACAGCAGCACCACTTCCCATGGCGCTGTTGAAACAAGCTTGATTGTGAGCAGCGGCTACTCTCACCTCTTGGGGGTCTGAACCCCCTACTTCGCCGCTGTGTCGTCCCGAAGGACCAGACTCTCGTCGCAGGTCCGCTGCCTGCGCGCTCCCGTCGTACTGCACGGTCCCAAAATGACCTGCAGTGCTTGTGGCGACGCTCTCCACGGCGCCGCCGCTTTCAGCGGCGCCCTCCGTGGCACCGCCGGACTTCTCCTCTATACGTGCAGCAAGTCCTCCGACCAGCTGCACCAGCTGGCCCATTTGCTGTGTCAGCGAACTGATCTCAGACCGCATGCTGTCGATCTGCTCGCTGCTGTTCGTGTCTCCTGCCTGCGAGCCGTCCGGAGTGGTCCCTCCGGTGCTGCGGCCCGCCATCCCTAATGGACTCCCTCGAGGGAATAAACACTAATAGTGTGTTGGTATGTCCGTACTTGGGAGGAGAAGACACGCTTTAACTCTCTCTGATTAGGCACCCGCGGGAGCGAGGAAAGGAAGGGAAGAAGTGGCCCTCCCGAATTCGGTGAAGGGGGCCCACACATAGTAGCATTTTTCAGGCATACGCATGCTCCTGTCTACGTACCCCCCCGTGCTGCTAGCAGATCTACCATGCTCGAATCCAGACACACGAACACGGGCGACTCCCGAAACGACTGATGCTCGGCGAACTGGCAGGGGGCGAGAAGCGACGTAGGTGGGGACAGGAACAGAAATGACCGAAGTTTGTGCTCGACGACCTCAAGGGATTCGGGGCCGACCACGGATCTACGAAAACCTATCCATGTTGCCTCTTATTCCCGGTACCGAAAGACACGGCACCGAAGTTAACGTGGACGGAAGCCGCGAAGGTGGAGGGGGGAGTATCCTGGCATGCGGCGGTGCTGCCGGGAGCTGAGAGGTTCATATCCTCCTGGCACGAGAAGGAAGAAGAGGCCAGCCGACAACGGGCGCTCAAACGAAACCACAAGCCACCAACCAATGGGGCGAGAGGGGGGCAGAGAAGACGGACGAGACGGCGAGGGAAGAAAGCAAACGAGAAGAGACGGACCGAGTGGCGCGATACGTGCCGGATTGAACTTCATTTAGCCAATTCCCCCCCCCCCAACGCTGCACCATTGCACCAACCCCCCACTAGTGATGACGTACCAATACAATGTATCGCTGGTTGGTGGCCATGTTTGCGTGTTTGCTTGTCGTTAGTGGTCTCTCCACCGCGCGCCGTCGCTATGAACGCTTGGCTGCCACAAGCCAGTTACCCCTGTGGTCACTTTTCTGACACCTCTAGCTTAAAATCCAAAAGAACTAAAGGATCGATAGGCCATGCTTTCACAGTTTGGTTTTTGGCCACTTGTCGCGTGGTCTTTTTTTGGGCTGTCTCTTTTCTCACAAAGGGACAACTAACCAAGAACCACTTGTTAGGGTGGTTCTTATCGATCCGCTATTTCTTTCATCGATTCGTAATTTTTTACACGGAACCGGTTCCGGGTTTTCCATTGGTTCTAATCGGCAAAGGTGCGCCTTTTTTTCAAAATCCCGGAAAGCGTCGATGCCGACGTACACACACCGGTCACGACCAGGCGAGAGGCCCGAGGCATACCACAGCAGACGCGATAAACCCACACCATGAACAACAACGCCGTAGCAGCGGCAGGCCGGCCATCTAGAGCGAAATCGTTGCCTCTGAGACTGCAGGATGCTGGTGAAAGTGGTGCTGCTGCTGGGCATGGGGTCGCCCAGACCGCGCCTGCTGGCGCGGCACAGCGGGCACCGAGCGGCATGGCCCGCCAGGCCGTTCACAGCAGGGTTACCCCCCGTACCGGTACACAACATGGGGGTTCCACCTGGCGCGGTGACGATGGCGGGCTTCTCGACGCTGATCGGCAAGCGGGTCAGGCGGCCTTAGTAAGGGTTCTCAACGACAAGCGATTTGGTGACGCCCCACACAAAAATTGGACCGAGTCGGAGAGCGGCGACGACGACGACGAGGGGGGGGGG